GTGTGGCCCCGCCCCCAGCGTGCGACGTCACTTCCGGGTGGCGCGCACGCAGGGGTGGGGTTTCCCCTGGGCCCCGATTCCGCGGGAGCAGGAATCGGGCCTTGAAAGCGGGGGGAAATCCGCCCCCCGGGGGGATTTGGGAACCCTAGGTCAACAGCTAGGTTTGCCTGCCCAGTGCTGGCAACTGGCGGGACATTACAGGGAGACCTAGCCTATGTACCACAGAAAACCCTACAGGAGGGGGGATTGGGATTGCAGGCCCTTCATTGGTTTGCCCTCCAACACTTCCAACCACAACTGTCGGGATGCCATGTGTTAGTAAGGACCGACAACATGTCGGCCATGGCCTACCTAAACAAGCAAGGGGGATTCACCTCGACATCCCTAAGGCGAGAGGCGACCCTACTCCTGAACTGGGCGGAACACAAGTTGCTGTCACTTCATGCAGAACACATCAGGGGAGTGACCAATACACAAGCCGATTGGCTGAGTCGCCAGACAATACAGGAGGGAGAATGGTCACTAAAAAGGACTCTGTTTTCCCTGATTACAACGAAGCTGGGAGTACCCAAGGTAGATCTATTCGCGTCCGCAACGAACCACCAACTGGACAGATTCTTCACCAGGTTCTTTCATCCAGCGGCGGAAGCCACCGACGCCCTACTGACACCTTGGCCGACGGGACTACTTTATGCGTTTCCACCCTTACCAGTTATTCCGCGCCTTCTCAGGAGAATTCGGTTACTCCAGGCAGAGGTGATAGTGGTGGCACCTTATTGGCCACGACGGCCATGGTTCACGTCTCTGCGGGAACTAGCTGTGGCTCCTCCCCTGTTCCTCCCAATATCCGACGACATGCTAAATCAAGGGCCAATCAAGCATCCCAACCCAGCCTGGTACTGCTTGACCGCATGGAGGTTGAGCGGGTCAAACTCCAAGAACTAGGATACAGTCAGTCAGTAATTAAGACCATTTTAGACTCCAGAAAACCATCTACTTCCCGCATATATAACGTCACGTGGAAGGCGTTTGTACGTTGGACAAGGAGAAAGAGGATCGATCCTCTCCGTCCCAAGATAAAGTCCATACTGGAATTTCTTCAAGACGGTCGTTCTTCAGGCTTAAAGGCGGCAACTCTTAGAAGACAGACTGCAGCACTGGCTACGGTCCTTCCAAAATTTAGTGGCCTTCCAATCTCGCAACATCCTCATATTCGTCGTTTTCTCAGAGGGGCGGCCTTACAGGACCCACCACAAGCGCACAGGTTTCCCACATGGAAGCTTAACACCGTACTTTCAGCCTTGACTAAACAGCCGTTTGAACCTATTAAGGACATTTCCATGAAATTTTTGAGACTCAAGGTACTTTTTCTGGTGGCCATTACCTCGGCCAGAAGAATTTCCGAATTGGGGGCCTTATCAATTAGGAAAGATTTGTGTATATTCCACAAAGACAAAGTGGTATTGCGAACGGATCCGTCCTTTCGCCCAAAAGTCCATACCAGATTCCACAATTCTCAGGATATTTGTCTACCTTCCTTTGTTCCGAATCCCGTACATCCAAAAGAAAGAGCTTGGCATACACTAGATGTAAGACGTGCCCTTAAATGTTACATCCTCAGGACAGCGCCAATACGACTGACAGAGTCTCTGTTCGTGAACATTTCTCCTCCTCGCACCGGAAGGAAGATGTCCACTTCGGCCATCGGTTCCTCTCTAAGAGCATGCATCGTTGAGGCCTACAAGAGTCTTAATCTTTCAGTGCCGGAAGGGATTACGGCGCATTCGCTACGCAGCGCAGCAACTAATGCTGCACTATGTAACAGGGCTTCGGTGGAAGAGATATGTAAGGCGGCCACTTGGTCATCTCTTTCCACTTTCATCAAACATTATAAAATCAATGTATTTGATTCGGCTGATGCGGCTTTTGGTCGTCGCGTCTTGCAGTCTGTTCTTGCAACAGATGACGACCTCCCACCCTCAAATTAATTACTGCTCTGGGAGACCCCACAAGATGTCCTCCGCCTCAGGGGAGAACGACCATTGGTACTTACCCGTGAAGGGTCCTTCTCCTCTGAGGCTTGGAGGACATCTTGGCCCTCCCAGGTCGTCATACTGGTCCGCCTTCCAGTTATTTTTAATTGTCTTGCCTTAGGCACTGAGGGAAAGAGAGAGAGCCGAACACAGATGTTATTCTTATGGATTCGGTTGTTTTCCTGTTGAGTTTCGTAATTCTATGGTATTCTTCCTGTTCTTGTTAACTGTATTTCTGCTAAGTGTAGTTTTTATGTAGCTTACTGCTTGCGGAGCACCGAACTGAGCTAGGGTGACTCCCTCCAAAGGGAACAGGAAGAAGTTTCAACTTAGTCCTGCCTCCCTAGAGAAGGATGGGAATCACCCACAAGATGTCCTCCAAGCCTCAGAGGAGAAGGACCCTTCACGGGTAAGTACCAATGGTCGTTCTGAGTTGCTACCCAGAGGCAAACTATGGCAAACCACCTCTAAATATCTCTTGCCTTGGAAACCCTACAGGTTTCCATAAGTCAGCTGCGTTTTGACAGTTCTTCCCACCACCACCATAGATGTTGTTCTCATAAGAACATAAGAGTCGCCAATGTTGGATCAGGCCAAAGGCCCATCCAGTCCAACACTCTGTGTCACACAGTGGCCAGAAATACTAGGTGCCATCAGGAGGTCCAGCAGTGGGGCCAGGACATTAGAAGCCCTCCCACTGTTGACCCCTCCCCCAAGCACCAAGATGACAGAGCATCACTTGCCCCAGAGTCCCTATCTATACCTTGTGGCTAATAGCCACCGATGGACCTCTGCTCCATCTTTTGAAGACGTCCATGCTTGTAGCCACCACCACTTCCTGTGGCAGTGAATTCCAAGTGTTAATCACTCTTTGGGTGAAGAAGTACTTCCTGTTATCCGTTCTAACCCGACCGCTCAGCAATTTCATGGAGTGCCCACGAGTTCTTGTATTGTGAGAAAGGGAGAAAAGTACCTCTTTCTCTACCTGCTCTTTCCCATGCATAATCTTATAAACCTCAATCATGTCACCCCTCAGTCGTCGTTTCTCCAAGCTAAAGAGCCCTAAGCGCCTTAACCTTTCCTCATTCAGTCGTCATTTCTCCAAGCTAAAGAGCCCTAAGTGCTTTAACCTTTCCTCATAGGGAAAGTATTCCAACCCTTTTATCATTCGAGTTGCCCTTTTCTGCACTTTTTCCAAAGCTATAATATTCTTTTTAAGGTGTGGTGACCAGAACTGCACACAGTTTTCCAAATGAGGTCGCACCATTGATTTATATAGGGGCATTATGATATTGGCTGATCTGTTTACAATACCCTTCCTAATAATCCCCAGCATAGCATTGGCCTTCTTTATTGCAGTCACACACTGTCTCGACATTTTCAGTGAGTTATCCACTACAACTCCAAGATCTCTCTCTTGATCAGTCTCTGCCAGTTCAGACCCCATCAACGTGTATTTATAGTTAGGATTTTTGGCTCCAATGTGCATCACCTTGCACTTGGCCACATTGAACCCCATTTGCCATGTTGACGCCCACTCGCCCAACTTTGACAGATCCCTTTGGAGTGCCTCACAATCCTCACTGGTTTTCACCACCCTGAACAACTTTGTATCATCCGCAAATTTAGCCACTTCACTGCTTACTCCCAACTCCAAATCATTAATGAACAAGTTAAAAAGCAGTGGACCAAGTACTGATCCCTGTGGTACCCCACTGCTTACACCCCTCCACTGGGAGAACTGCCCATTTATACTCACTCTCTGTTTTCTATTAATTAGCCAGTTTTTGATCCATAAAAGGACTTGTCCTTTTATCCCATGATTTTTGAGCTTGCTTAGGAGCCTTTGATGAGGAACTTTATCAAAAGCTTTCTGGAAGTCAAGGTAAACAATATCTATTGGGTCCCCCTTGTCCACGTGTTTGTTCACCCCCTCAAAGAACACTAACAGGTTAGTGAGACAAGATCTTCCCTTACAGAAACCGTGCTGAGTCTGCCTCAATAGGTTTTGTTCATCTATGTGCCTACTAATTCTTTCCTTAATAATGGTTTCCACCAATTTACCCGGTATCGACGTCAGACTGACTGGCCTGTAATTTCCCGGATCTCCTCTGGAACCCTTTTTAAAGATGGGAGTGACATTAGCTACCTTCCAGTCCTCAGGAATGGAGGCAGATTTTAAGGAAAGATTACATATTTTTGTAAGGAGAGCCACAAGTTCACAATTGAGTTCTTTCAGAACTCTCAGATGTATGCCATCTGGGCCTGGTGATTTATCTGTTTTTAAATTGTCTATCAGTTTTAGGACCTCCTCTCTCGTTTGGTGTAGTGGTTAGGAGCCTGGACTCTAATCTGGGGGAACCGGGTTTGATTCCCCACTCCTCCACATGCAGCTGCTGGTGTGACCTTGGGTCAGTCACAAGTTCTTTCAGAGCCATTCTCTCAAGGGCAGTCCTTGAAAGAACTCTCTCAGCCCCACCTGCCTCACAGGGTGTCTGTTGTGGGGAGGGGAAGGGAGAGGAGATTGTGAGCCACTCTGAGACTCCATCGGGTAGTGAACGGAGGGGTAGAAATCCAATCTCCTCCTCCCGCTCCTCTTCTCCTCCTCCTCCTCTTCCTCCTCTTCTTCTTCCCCTTACTATGTATGATCCTACAAAAGAGCGGCCATCTGACTCATGTATTTCTTCTTCCTCCTCTTACTGCTCCACTCCTTCCTCCCCCCCCTTTTGATTTCTCCTTCTTTGTGGTGTTCCAGAATCCACATCTCCGTGCAAATTCCTCACCAGGACGGGATGCTGCCCCTCATCTCCACTATGCCTCTGCACAACCTGCATTTCCTATTGTCAGAGTCCATCTACAGGCACCAGCATGTCTGCTCCAACCTCGTCAGCATCCAAGACCTCAAAGGCATCTCAGGTAATAAATCCTTGGGACTAAATTGCCAGCTCGTGCAGTAAAACGAAACCGGCACAGTAAAAATCACATTAATTAAGCAGGTGTTCCTTTGTTGCCATCCTTCTGGTCTGGCATTAGAGAGAGCTCAGCTTCAGGGGCAGATTAAGGGACGGAGGGAGCCCGTTCTGAAAGGCATCTCAGAGCCCTGGGCATCGTCACACCGATCGCAGAGCCTTTCAACTGCCTGAGCTGGGTCAGCATTTTAAACTGCATCCCCCCATATGGAATGAGAGGGCTGCTGCTTCTGTGTTGTACAATAAAGCAGCAGCAAGGAATTTTAAGAGGGTCCAGCATAGAAAGAAGGACTAGGAAGGCACAAATCAAGAGCACATGAAGCTGCCTTGTATTAAATATGTGTGCTAAGAACCAGGGGTCATTTCGTAGAAAAAGAGGTGCAGGAGCTCATTAGCATAGCTCATTAGCATAACTTATTTGCATATGCCACACCCCCTGACGTCACCAGAAGTGTGTCAGAAGGCAACACCCACTGCTCAGGCTCCACTGGACTGTTTTGGATTGCTAGCTGTTGGGGGGGGGGGGGACGTGCAGATCTGTCCTCGCAGAGGAGGGAGAGCTTGTACCTGAATAAAACCTGGTCTTAAAGGTGCCACTGGACTGTTTTGGGCCAGGGGGGCGGGGGGAGGGCTCTGCAGCTTACCTGGCTGCTTCTTGCTCTGACTGAGGGCTGCTGGGAGCAGGGGGTGGGGCTTGTTGCATGTGCCCGCTCCCTGGGGTCTTTACTGCCGGAGCTCCGCTCCTGTGTGCTCCTGCAGGAAATGACCCCTGCTAAGAAAATTGAACAATGGCTGTCACCACCAAACTGGTGACAACAACTACTAGCACTTTTTATGGTTGAATTGTTTTAACTGTAATTCATGTTTTAATGTAACTTATTTTATGTAATTTACCTGTTTTTATGTAAACCACCCTGAGCCGGCTTTGGCTGGGAGGGCGGGGTAGAAATCCAACAAATAAATAAATAAATAAATAAATAAATAAAATCAGACCATGTGTCCATCAGAGTCAGTGTCATAAACTCGGACTGGCAGTGGGCTCTTCAGGGCCTCAGGCAGAGAGGTCTTTCACATCACCTACTGCCAGATCTTTGAACTGGAGATGCCGGGGACCAAACCTGGGACTTTCTGCATGCCAGCCAGATTGGCGGCTGTGCAAGGTTTATATGGGGCTGGTATCCAAATTGACAAGATAGGGGAGTCCTTGGATTCAGTTCTTAAATCCCTACGTTCCATTTGTGGCATTCCGAATTGTGTAGCGGGGGTGGCCCTTCGAGGTGAAATGGGACAGCCATCACTTGAAGCTCGGGCTTGGCTGAAGGCTTCTTTCCCTTAAAGTTGAAATTATACACTCCATCGTTACCGATGATGTGGGAGGCCCTGGCATTTGGGCCAAAACTCTATGGTAAAAATGGCTTCTGCCAAAACCTTTTTGCCCAAGTACCAGAGCATACAGTGCCTAAAAAAAAGCAGCTTACCTTGTCATTAAAAGCAGGTTTTTGAAGCTTTGATGCTCCTCAGAGGTGTAAAGTGCTTTTGATGTTTAATGATAAGGTAAGCTGCTTTTTTTAGGCACTATATTGATTTGATGCCATCAGCTCCAATATAGAATTGTCAAAGGAAGATTGCAAGAACTATATGATGAAGATATGAAACAACAGAGACTTACCTGGCATCTGCGTTAGTAGTAGTTCAGTCTAAAGAGTTTAAGGATTGCCACACCTACATGGACATATTGTGGCGTTCTAAGCTTTGCCCAGCTCATTTCGGCATTGAGTGGATGTTCCTCCGCTTTTGAAAATATTGGTCCAGTTCAAGGTTTATATCTTTATCGATACCATTGTTTAAAAAGGACCTTTCTTCACTTCGATGACTTTGTGAATACGCACCCCAGTATTCAATAAGCTTTCTGTCTTGTGATTGGTTTATGTCATTGTAATTTTTTCCCCATTGTGTTATGTATAAAACGACAGAAAACTGGATATTAGAATACTTATGAACATTTCATAATACAAAAGCAAAAAAACACTTAGGCTTGTGATTTGAATATTTATTGTTTAAAAAGCATACAGCATTTAGCTTAGGCTATTAGATTAGGTGTCTCCAGCAACACTGGCCTGGGCCCCCCTTCATTGCTGGGAAGTCCCCCCCCCGTCCCCCCCGCCCAGCTGCAAGTTGTCATGAGGGACCTGGAAACCCTAAATGTCTCTTTTGTCCAGAACGGAAAACTGGGCCTGGGGCTTTACATGATTAGCATCAAGGCAAAAATAAAAGATGCAAAGCACCAGGTGCGGGATTGGTATCCAGGAGCCTCCGGGCACTTCCTGCAGCATTGGATGCTGGGACAAATGTACTTTTCTTTCACTGGGACGTTTGACCCTGACATTATATAAATAGCAGATCTCCCCTAAAGGTAAAGGTTCCCTTGCTCGAAAGCCACTCGAATCCGAATCTAGGGTTGTGGTGCTCATCTCCGTTTCCAAGCCGAAGAGCCAGCGCTGTCCGAAGACGTTTCCATGGTCATGTGGCCAGCATGACTAAACACCAAGGTGCACGCAACGCTGTTACCTTCCCACCGAAGTGGTACCTATTTATCTACTTGCAATTTCTTGCTTTCGAACGGCTAGGTTGGCAGGAGCTGGAACTAGAGACGGGAGCTCACTCCGTCATGCAGCACACTCGGGTCTCGAACTGCTGAACTACTGACCTTCCACAGCCTGCAGTTCAGCGTCTTAACCACTTAATCCCCTATTCGAGTACTAAATGAATGTCAGCAGGAGATCTGATGTAGCTCAAGCATGTCCCATACACACACACACAAAGAGATCTCAGTGTATTCTTTCTACCCCAGATGCTGGATTCCTGGACGAGGTGACCTTCCACAGCATCGTTCTGGGACCCGGGTATGATCGGCCGTACCAGTTTGACCCCACTGTGAGGGAGCCAAAGACGATCCAGCTCTACAAACATCTGAACCTGAAGAGCTGCATTTGGACTTTTGATGCTTACTATGACATGACGGAACTAATTGATGTCTGTGGCGGATCCGTCACTGCTGACTTCCAGGTAGTACCACCTGGAGAGCTTTCAGTCTGTTGGTTTCGACTGGCAATGAACGCAAGGGCCTAACTACACATTACACCGTTTACAGGTCCGCTCTGGGTTCTGGTTATATGTGCATTGGGAGTTCAGGGTTCACATCCATTCCCAGCTGCATGGAGGTCCAACCTGAACGAGGACCATGGTGCACAGGGAGAGGGGGTTTGTCTTCACCGCCCTGGTGCCATTTTCTGGCCTGAAATGCTTTGGGGACCTGTTATTTGTCCCACTGGGAAAACTTGTGTGTCCTGATGGTCGGGCACTTTTTGTAGCAGGTACTCATTTGCATATTAAGCGACACACCCCTAATGTAGCCAATCCTCCAAGAGCTTACAGTAGCTCCTGTAAGAAGAGCTCTGTAAGCTCTTGGAGGATTGGCTACACTAGGGGGTGTGGCCTAATATGCAAAGGAGTTCCTGCTACAAAAAGAGCCCTGCATGGGCTGTATGTAAGTTAGGGTTGCCAGGTCTTACCTTTCCCATGGCAGGGGGCTCCGGGCTCCTCCTCAGGATGTTCCTGCCACGTGTGCAAAGCGTGCGCAGCGCAGTGACATCACCAGTAGTGATGTCATCATGCCGGGGCCGTCACACGGCAACGCTCTAGCGTTCGGGGCAAAAACTCTATGGTAACCATAGAGTTCCCCCTCCCCCAAATGCTACAGCATGGCCAAGCGACAGCCCCATCATGATGACGTCACTACAGGTGACATCATCACGTTAGCGTCACCACGGGGTGCTGCTTTTTGGGGGTGGGGCTTGCTGGTGGCAGATTGGGGCCCCCCAAAATCGGGGGATTCCCCTGCCCTGACCGGAGGGGATGGCAAACTCTAGTGTAAGTACAATAGTGGCTCTCGGATGTTGGGGGTCAGGAAAATGGGGGAGAGGCTCAAGCCCCCTTTTTCTCCACACACCACACTTCCAGTTCAACTCAGACCCCTGCATGCCTGGGAATTAAGTTTCAACACACAACTGGCTGCGCATGTTAACAGGGCATGGGCCATACCTGTGAGAAGTGTAATATTGACTCAGGCCCTGTCTTTCAAGGCCCTCTCCTGGATGGCCCAGGTGAGTCCAGTGTCAGCAGATCTCGGAAGCTAAGCAGGGTCGGCCGTGGTTAGTCCTCAGGTGGGAGACCACCATGGAAGTCCGGAGCTGCTGTACAAAGAAGAAGAAGAGATTGGATTTATACCCCGCCCTTCACTACCCAAGGGAGTCTCAGAGCAGCTTCCGGACCCCTTTCCCTTCCCCTCCCCACAACAGACACCCTGTGAGGTAGGTGGGGCTGAGAGAGCTCTGGTAGAAACTGCTCTTTTTCAAGAACAGCTCTGACAGAACTACGGCTTGCCCAAGGTCATCCAGCAGCTGCAAGTGGAGGCGTGGGGAATCAAAGCGGGTTCTCCCAGGTTAGAGTCCGCGCACTTTAACCAATAACACCAAACTGGCAGGCAGTGGCAAAACACCTCTGAACCAATGCTCCCCCTAAGCTCTGGAGTCTTGTGAGCAAAAATTCTACCTTGTGAACTACTGGCATTAAAAGTCGCGTGAGCTAGCTCACACCAACTCAGCTTAGGGGGAACACTGCTCTGAACGCCTCTTGCCTTGGAAAGCCTTTGGGACTGCCTCTCCTGGCATGCCTGCTGGAGGTCCCTGGCCCAAGGAGTGTCCAGCTGTCCTCAGCCAGAGACATCCGGGCCCTACGAGATCCCTCACGATTCCGCAGGGCCTGCCAGGCAAAGATGCTCTGCCAGGCGTACGTTGAAGGGCAGCAGCGGCATGGTCAGTCCTCCTCTCTCCCCTCTCCCTCCCTCCCTCCCCTGCTGATCGGGGTTATGAAACCTCACGGCACCTTAGGATCTGGGACGTTGTTGCGTAGCTCTTAATTTTAAGAGTTTAAAGCATTACGCCATCTGTTTTTAACTTGTTGTATACCGCCCTGAGCTTGCCTTGCAGAGAGGGTGGTACAAAAATATAATAAATAATAATAATAATTTTAAAGAACCCCACAGGGTCATCATAACTCATCTGCGACCTCACGGCACTTTCCGTCTCCACATTTTCAATGTAATAAGTATAATTTTTCTGCCTGAAGCAGGATGCTACATCATAAACTATGCCTGGTTATATAACTGGGACGCGGGTAGAATAAGATTTATTTGTATAACTGCACTGTCTCTGGGCCTCATTTACCTAACCCCTGGACTCATTCTGACCTAGAGGAGAGAAACATTCCAAAGCACTTTGAAACTCATGAGGTTTTAGAACTATAGCAGTCCATGTGGCTTATAAATACCAGCGGTGACCCAGTTCCCATGAGCGTGACAGTGGCGTTACGTGTTTTGATAGGTTCGCGATTCGGCTCAGTCCTTCCTGACTGTCCACGTCCCACTCTACGTGTCCTACATTTACGTGACGGCGCCGAGAGGATGGGCCTCTCTCGAGCATCACACTGAGATGGAGTTCTCCTTCTTTTATGACACTGTTCTCTGGAGGACAGGTAGGCAATCCAGTTACGTACAGGTGTTACATTTGAGCCACCGTGCAGGAACCTTGCTGGAGTCAAAGGAGATCGAAGCGGAAAGGCATTGGTTGAGAATCAGGGCATCCACACTGCAGAATGAAAACGGGTTTCGTTGCCTTTCTTGTTGCTTCTGTAGAAGGTCTCTGTAGCTGGGTTTCGGAGGGTAGCTGTGTTCCGCAGTAGAAGAAGAGGAGGAGATTGGATTTATATCCTGCTCTTCACTACCCAAAGGAGTCTCAGAGCTGCTTACAATCTCCTTTCCATTCCCTTCCCCCAACAGACACCCTGTGAGGTAGGTGGGGCTGAGAGCACTCTGAGAGAACTGCCATTGAGGGAACAGCTCTGAGAGAACTGGTGACTGACCCAAGGTCACACTAGCAGTTGCATGTGGCGGAGTGGGGATTCAAACCCGGTTATCCCAGATTAGAGTCCGCGCTCCTAACCACCACACCAAACTGGTGTTCAGTAGCAGTTTAGAGTCCCAACAGGATTTTTTTTGGGGGGGATAAGCTTTTGAGAGTCAAGCTGTGATGAAGGGAGCTTCGACTCTCGAAAGCTTGCAACCTGAAAGTCTTGACGGTCTCTGAGGTGGCACTGGGTTCAAATCTGGCTGTATGGCTGGGTTGTATCACCTTCTCACGACAAGAGGGCAGGTTCGATTCGGTCAGTGCCCCTGAATCCCCCCCCCCTTCCATTTCTGTTTCCCCTTGTTAGGTATTCAGACAGACAGCGTCCTTTCGGCCAGACTGCAGATCATAAGGATCTACATCCGAGATGACGGCCGCCTGGTCATCGAGTTCAAGACCCACGCCAAGTTCAGAGGTATCCAAGGGCTCGATTTCTACACCAAGAAGGGCTTGGGCCTGAACCCGGCTGGAAGGAAATTCACACCTTCCGCCCTAGATTCTTGACTTCTATCCCTGATCCGACATGTGCAGAAGCCGGTTGTGGGTAATAAGAAGGAAGTCTTCAATGGATGCTGACGAAATTTTCCAGAGTTGACTTCATTTTGTAAAAAACGTCTTCCGAAAGTCAGAAAATATCTCTCATGTATCCATAGATTGCAGTCATTTTAACAGGTTACTATACAAAATCCAAATCCGTAATGAATGGTAGGTATCTTTTGCAGAAATTCTAATATCTAATTCTGTGACACAGAATTAGTTTGTCCGTCATGTATCTATGGATACATGAGAGATATTTTCTGACTTTCGGAATAATTTTTTTTACGAAACGAAGTGTACTCTGGAAAACTTCACCAGCATCTGTTGAAGCCTTCCTTCTTATTACCCAGAATTCATTATTATATTTTTCACCTTCATATTTATTGTTACATTGCATGTTATGTATTATAAGCGCAATTCGCACAGTTTCCTCTGAGCAACTTATAGCACGGAACTGCTCCGGCAGGGAGGATGGGATATAAATTGAACAAACAAACAAATAAATAAACAGTTAAAAATACAGTTGATACGTAATCAAAATCACAAATAATAAACGTGAAACTAGAACCAATCAGGATGGCAATACATAGTCCTCTATTGCCGGCCACACCACCAGGGCTATTTTTGGGCAGGAACACACAGGAACGGAGTTCCGGCTGGCTCCCAAGTTGGCCACGCCCAGCAGGAACTCATTAGCATAATAGGCCACACCCAACAGCAGGAACTCATTAGGATTGGCTACATTAGGGGTGTGTGGCCTAACATGCAAAGGAGTTCCTGCTGCAAAAAAGCCCTGGGTTGGTTGTTTTTTTTAATTCGTCTATAGTACAATAAACAACAATGGGATTTGGTATAAATATGACCAACACAAAATTACATGTAATGAAACACTGCAACATACTGAGAAGGAACAGCAAATTTAGAAGTGTCATTATTGAAAACATATTCTAAAAAAGGAGACCATTTCGTGCATAAAGTAGATTTTGAACATGAACTATTAGTAGAGGAAGCCACTGCATCAGAAAGTTTGTCCATGATGTAAAAGTCTCAGATTTTTAAGCGCCAAGAGGAAAGAAGAAGTTTGTCGGTAGATTTCCAGCTACTCGCAATAACCACCTTAGCAGCTATTAGCAGAGTCGAAATAAGGTCTTGGCTACATTTGGGTATATGGGGGGCATTCCATAAATCAAGTAATATTAGTTCAGGTTGCAGTGGTATCGAGTGCCCAGTTATATTTTTGATGGAAAAGATAACCTTGGACCAGAAATGCTGAATTTCTGTGCACCCCCACCAACAATGAAAAAAAGTGCCAGATTCCCCACAGGGACGAAGCCCTGGGTTTTGACAACAAACAGGGTAAACAGAATAAGAAGCAAAAGGTGAGTGTGGCTGGATGAACACACTTCTAATAACATGGGGGGGCGGCCTAATGTGCTAATGAGCTGTGCCGTCAGGGGTGTGGCCCAATATGCTAATGAGTTCCTGCTATTGGGTGTGGCCTATTATGCTAATGAGTTCCTGCTGGGCTTTTTCTACAAAAAGAGCCCTGCGTGACACCACTATCCCACACGGCAGGGCACGTGGGGGCCACAGAGGGGAAAGAGAGAGAGAGAGAAAGGGTGCCAATCTCAACCTCACGTTGCTGCCCTCCACTGAAAAGCCTGGCAGAGCATCCCTGCCTCACAGGCCCTGCAGAATTGCACCAGATCCTGCAGGGCCCTGATGTTATTCAGCAGAGAGTTCCACCAGGTCGGGGCCAGGACCGAAAAGGCCCTGGCCTTCGTCAAGGACAGCCGGACCTCCCTCGGGCTGGGGATCACCAGCAGGTTGTTATCAGCTGATCTCAGCCTTCTTCTGAGGACATATTGTTGGAGGCGGTCCTGAAGGTACGTGGGCCTGTGACCGCCCGAGGCCTTGAAAGTCAACACTAACACCATAAACCTGACTCGGTACTCCACTAGTGGCCAGTGCAGCTGGTGCAGCACAAGTTATATATGTTCTGCTTTTGGCCTTTTGACCCATTTGTGGGAGAGTTGCGACCCACTTTTGGATCTCAGCCCCACAGCCTGAGAAGCGCTTAGCTAAATGATTTCAGAAGACAGGGCCAGAGAAGACCATTGGCCTGAGAATCAGAGGAGCATTAAAGTGAAATAATTAGAATGAATTTTGGGGTATGTTAAGGAATGAGATTGATATTTGCTTTATGGACTATGTTTATTGCTACACACACACAGTGGACTGTGCACACACACTCATAGGCTCAAAGAAAGCTGTACAAGTCACCTGTTGTGATACTACACATAGAAGGTGCCTGCATAAGCCTTACACGTGAATGAGGTTTCAGCTACACAGTATTAGCCTGGTGAAGGAGCACACATCTCCATTATTGTCAGCAAAACAACAACTTGAGCAGAGACAGCCCCCATTGCTGAATCAGCCAGGATCACGTACAACACATCCATGTATTTCCTGCCAAATGAACATTTGTTTCACAAAGGGAATGGCCAAGCTTCATCTACATTTCAAGGAAGCATCTTGACGCCAAGATTTCACACCTGACCAGATGGCCCTCTTTGAGTAAGGTTTAGATTTCAATTTTGACCACTCCTTATAGGCAACCTCCCACTCCTATAGGCAACCAATAGGATTGTTTTTGGGATGGACTAATAGGTAGGTGGGTCCACAGGTTGGAACAGTTGCCACCCACCCAAAGGACCACCTATAAAAGGTTGGAACCATTCACCTGGCCTTTGCTAGCCAGCATCCCCCGCAACAACCCCTGTCTGCTTTATACTCCTCTTTTGTCCAGCTTGCTATCCCCAACCCTTGCCTCTACTGCCCACATGTGCTGGCTGGTTCTAGTCGTGTGTTAAACTCCCTTAGATTTCTATTTTCTCCCCATCCATTCTTCATTGGGATCACCAAGCTGTGAAGACAGATAAGTATCACCCATCATCAGCCTTACCTGCTAATGCAAAAGTGCTTATTTTACTACTGTATTTTTAAGGAACTTGATTGAATGTGTGCGTGCATCAGTATTGTTTGTATGTGATATATTTTCTTAAGTAAAAGACATTTATTTTAACCATACCGGCCTCGACTCCCTCTCTGGTAACCCTTGGTGGGAACAGGACCTTAGTAGACACTGGCAAGAACCCATCTAAATTGCCAATTGCTGTAAATAAAGTAATTCGGCTAACAGGTAAGGCAGGGCCTTTCCTGCCCTGATGTGGGTGGCCCCAACTAGCCTGGTCTCCTAATCAGATCTTGGAAGCTCAGCAGGGTCAGCCCTAGTTAGTCATTGGATGGGAGACCACCGAGGAAGTCCTGGGTTGCTACGCAGGGGCAGGAAACGGCCAACCGCCTCCGTTCATCTTCTGCCTTGAAAACATCTACGGTGTTGCCATTTTCTGAAGTTCTCTCTCACACAGAAACCTTTTCCTGCAAACTCGCCATGCAGTCCTAAGCAAGAAGCCGATGGGCTTGGAAGGATGTGATTCTGCCCAGGATGGCACTTTTCACCAGTGCTGACAATTGTAACGATGTTGGAATCAGTTTGTCCATCAATGCATATCGCTGGTGGTGAAAAGTGTCGTGAAGTCGCAGCTGACTTAGGATGACCCCCCCCCCAATAGGATTTTCAGGGCAAGAGATTAACAGAGGTGGCTTGCCATTGCCTGCCTCTGCATAGCATTCTTCTGGAGTCCTGGCCCCGCTGGTGGACCTCCTGATGGCACCTGGGCTTTGGCCACTGTGTGACACAGAGTGTTGGACTGGATGGGCCATTGGCCTGATCCAACATGGCTCCTCTTATGTTCTTAAGTGCTAACCAGGGACAACCATGGTTAGCGTCAGATCTGATGAGATCGGGCTCGCCTGGGCCATCCAGGTCAGGGCATTATGATATTAAAGTAAAGTTAAAGGTTCCCTTGCTCAAAAGCCAGTCGAATCCAACTCTAGGGCATGGTGCTCATCTCTGTTTCCAAGCCGAACAGCCAGCGCTGTCCGAAGACGTTTCCATGGTCATGGGGCCCGCATGCCGGGGCGCATGGAACGCTGTTACCTTTCCACCGAAGCGGTACCTATTTATCAACTTGCAGTTTCTTGCTTTTGAATGGCTAGGTTGGCAGGAGCCAGGGCCAGAGACGGGAGCTCACTCTGTCACACAGCACTCGGGTCTCGAACTGCCGAACTACAGACCTTCTGGTCTGCAGCTCAGTGTCTTAACCCCTGAGCCACCGCGGCCCCTCCGCTACGATATTAGCATTGTATATAAAATGAGCTCTATTCTGTAAACTCGGAACAGGAGCTTCATCCTTATAACCAGACTGAATCATGATCTCAACCTTGAATCACACACAGGACACTTCGTGATGGAACACCACACGTTGCCAGACGCGAAATCCTTCATAAAGACTCCCGACCACCTGGGAGGGATCGAGTTTGACCTGCAGCTTTTATGGAGTGGCCAGACTTTTGATTCCCCTTATCAGCTCTGGAGAGCCACCAGTTCTTACAGCAGGTAAAAGAAAAGAAAAGCCACAGGGTGTGTCGCTGTTGAAACTGCTGTCCCAGACGGCTTCTGGGAATGCTGTGTTGGAATTCCACTCCAGTGAGGTGCATGCAGCCATTTGGCTGTGATGGGGCAGAGGTAGGGGAAGCTGGAGCAGGATGCGGCTGGTGCTGGGAACCTGGAGAAACTGGATGATGATGAGGATGGGGATTGGGGATTGGGGTGTGGGGGGGAGAAGAGATTTCAGAGGGGAAGCTGGTAAGTAGATTCACGACCTTTCCTGGTGCTGGCAGTTACACATTGCACGGTGAAGTATACCAGTGAGAGCACCCCTCCTCCCTCCCTTGTTGAGAGCAGAAGAAGAAGAGAAGAGAGAACAGATACCCCACCCTTCACTACCCAAAGGAGTCTCAGAGCGGCTTACAATCTCCTTTCCCTTCCCCTCCCCACAACAGACACCCTGTGAGGTAAAAGAAGAAGAAGAAGAGATTGGATTTATACCCCGCCCTTCACTACCCAAAGGAGTCTCAGAGCGGCTTACAATCTCCTTTCCCTTCCCCTCCCCACAACAGACACCCTGTGAGGTACGTGGGGCTGAGAGAGCTCTTTTGAGAACTCGTGCGAGAACAGCTCTGAAAGAACTCATGACTGACCCAAGGTCACACCAGCAGCTGCATGTGGAGGAGTGGGGAATCAAACCTGGGTCTCCCCAATTAGAGTCTGCACTCCTAACCATTACACCAAACTGGCTCTCTACTTGGGAGAGCATGATTCAGGACCCCTTACATGACCTCCGGGGTAGCCTTTTCTCCACATCATATTTCAGTTTTTAAAATTTTACTTATTGCCCTTCATATAACACAGTTGATGCTGGATTCGACAAAAACATACAATAGGCTTTTATCTGTCATACATCAAATTGATTTCTTCTCATTGACCTACCGTGCCTGTGAGCCTGGTTGTACTATATGTGAATTTGTTTTCATTGCATTGATATAATATAAAATCGTGTATAAATTGATAAAATGTACAGACTGAATGAATTTATGATTTCATGAATAGATTGACATATCAAAACTGACATATCAAAATTCAATTTGTGATTATTATTACTATATTGGCATTTGTGAATGCATTGGCATTTATTACAGTTATATATAAGAACGTTATTGCAGACAGACAGTTATCTGCTTTATGATATTAGTAATTTAGTCTTTATTAGAGTTGTTCTCCACACCGTGGCCCCTTTTTCTTTAATTGTTTCTCCCCAAAGTGGCTTACATCATTCTCCTCACCTCCATTTTACCTTCACAACAACCCTGAGAGGTAGGTTAGGCTGAGAGTCCTAAGAGAGACCAGCCCAAGGTCACCCAGCAAAGCTTCTGTGGAAGAGTGTGGATTTGAACCTGGCTCTCCCAGGGGATGATCAGAAGTTATAACCACTCCGCCATGCTGGCTCTGCCCTCCTTTTATATTACTTTTTACTTGTTGAGGTGAGATGTAGCAAGCAAAGACTTGAGACTGCGGGAAGAAGACATGAAATTGGTGAACTTTGGCCTTCCGTTAACATCAGACCCATGCAGTTTTTAATGGGAATCCTCAGATATGGAAAGACAGTAGACTGGCCACATGGTTTTCTTAAGAATGCTTCAGCAAAAGAGATCATGGCTCTTAACTGCTTCAGCCAAGCAGGCTGCCCAGTTGCTACATTTGATTCCTGCCACTTACCCAGAGGAACATAAGAACATAAGAACAATGTTGGATCAGGCCAAAAGCCCATCCAGTCCAACATTCTGTCACACAGTGGCCAGAAATACCAGGTGCCATCAGGAGGTCCACCAGTGGGGCCAGGATGTTAGAAGCCCTCTCACTGTTGTTGGGCAAGCCATAGTTCTGGCACAGCTGTTCTTGAAAAAGAGCAGTTTCTGTCAAGAGCTCTCTCAGTCCCACCTACATCACAGGGTGTCTGTTGTGGGGAGGGAGAGGAGACTGTAAGCCGCTCTGAGACTCCGAGTGAAGGGCAGGGTATAAATCTAATCTCTTCTTCTTCTTCTTGATGGACCAGTGGCTTCATTCAATATAAGGCAGCTTCATGTGTTTTCATGTGTACGCACAAGGCAGTCATAGACTCTTTAGGGGTCACATCTAGTTAACGTCACCATCAGGACTTAACTGGGCAAACCGCACAGGTGAAAGAATCGGATGTGATCGGGAAATTCTTCTAGCGATCAGGGTTTTGCCGCCTGACCTGCTCTGTGCCTCTGGTGGCTCCTGCTAAATTGTTAGCCCTCCGTCTGGAAGGTTGTTTGGTCTGTGCATTTATTTTTGATTAGACTAGCAGGCATCTTGTCCCCGGAGCAAAAGCGTTCTGTGCATGCCAACCGAAATTAATGCCGTTATCGGTCGTGCCTTCTCTCTGTTTCCAGGAAGGATTACTCAGGAGAATACACCATCTACTTAATACCGTGTACGGTACAGCCCACGCAGTCGTGGGTTGATCCCGGAGACAAACCATTTCCCTGTACTGCTCATGCTCCAGAGAAGTAAGAAAACACATTCACTGTTCTTTATCTTATGGGTAGCTATATTCAGTACGCCTGGGTGTGTTTTCTGTTTGTCTGCACACATTTGGGGTATAGTATAGCAGCAAACTGCTTATATGAAATTTTTAAAGAGTGGGTTCAGTTGTTTGGTCATTCATCCAGAGAGGTGACCAAAGCAACCTGCAAAGAATTAAAAGGGGGGGGGTTCTTTTCTCAAGACTCCAGTGCAGGAGGGTTACTGTTTTTGTCATGCTTTAAAAAAATCAGCACAAACTTATTAGCAGTGGCCTTCCGTATAATTTAAATCAAACAAAGGCTTTGAAAATATTCTTGCAGTTGTGTCTGGGAGTTCAAGACTGCTCAGGAACGGTTAGGGCTTTATAGGTTAAAAGCAGGCTTAAAGCTATAATCTTAGGATCACACACCCTTTCCTTTCTGTTGAGCTCCAGAAAGGACTGTGACTCCTTCTCTTGGATTATTTCCAAAAGCACGGCAGCTCCTTTAGTCTGTTAGTACGAGCTGTCAAATTAAAATGGGAGGAGAAAGGGAAAGTGTTAAATACTGGGTTCCATAGATGGCCTGACCCCAAGCTTAGTCATCAGCTCAGCTTTATTAGTGATTCAGCAGATACAAGGCAAAACTCCAGGGCAATAGCCCTGTTTAAATAGCATGCAAACGCCATACCCAACTCCCAACAATAGGCTATTTACATAACATTAATTCCTCATTGGTCACCTCCAGAGTCCTGGTGGGCTATTGTTCTAGAGCTCCAAGCTCAGCCAGTCTCTGGTAGAAACAGTCCCGGGATGTTCCAGCCCCAATACATAACAGAAGGAGAATCTTGTTGGGCGGGTCTTCCCAAACTGAGTTCTCATTCTCGTAAAGGTCATACTACCGGCTGTGCCCCCCCCACACACATAGTCTTTTTTACCCTAGCGAAATTCAATAAGGCTTCTGTCCAGTGGAATGGAAGAGAACGTGGCTAGCTTTGCCATAGGGGGACAACAACCTTTCATTTTTTAAAAAAATGATTTTGTGGGAGGCACGCGTTGGATGAGCTGAGTATTACACCCTCTTAAGACAAAAGGGAGAAAAGGAACCTGGGAGATTGGCAGCGGGGTTCAAAACAATGAAGACAAGCCAGGAAGGATTCATCGTTGTGCCTGGTTACGATGTCACAGAGGCACGATCGATCAGGGAACAAGATCCAGGGCCAGGGGAGGGCCGAGTTAACCGAGGTCTCAGTGCAGGCTTTGCCAGAGGGTCAGGCGGATCGGGGAGGAGATGCGTGCTGGCCCGTCTGGATCGTGGTGAATCATTGCGAAGGAAGTATTTCATCTGTTGTCTCTCTTTCCCCCCCCTTTCCTTTTCTCCCCCCCATTTAGATTTTTGATCCCAATTGCCTTTCAGCAAACTAACCGTCCAGTCCCTGTTGTGTATTCCCTCAACACTGAGTTTCAGCTCTGCAATAACGAAAAGGTGTTCCTGATGGACCCGACCAAATCGGAAGTGTCAGTGGAAGAGATGGACTACAAAGGAGCCTTCTCGAAGGGTAGGGCTGGCTTGCTTGCTGGCGGGACCAGATCTTGCCCATCTAGCGGCCACTTGGTCACAAGGCAGTTTATGTATGTATGTATGTATTTACTTTATTCGATCTATATCCCGCCCTCCCTGCATAGCTGGCTCAGGATGGGTTCCATCAGATGTAGTAAAAAAATACAATATACACAAATTAAAGCAGATAAAACACCAATAAAATACAACAGCATCATTCATCCAGTGCAGGTTATAGTTAAAGTTAAAGGCCTCACAGGTGTCACCTCTTTCAAGATTTGGTCCTTGGGTGGTAATGGAGTTCTGACCCACTGACTTGAAGATAAGAACATACATAAGTACATAGAAACTGAGCTATTAATTGCATTACATAAAATCAATTGTTTACATAATTTGTAATTTTCATCATTTTTCATGGTGTGTATATTTTGTTTGACCACCTGGAGGCTGGCATAAGAACATAAGAGACGCCAATGTTGGATCAGGCCAAAGGTCCATCCAGTCCAACACTCTGTGTCACACAGTGGCCAGAAATACCAGATGCCATTAGGAGGTCCACCAGTGGGGCCAGGACATTAGAGGCCCTCCCACTGTTGCCCCCCCCCCAAGCACCAAGAAGACAGAGCATCACTTGCCCCAGAGCCCCTATCTATACCTTGTGGCTAATAGCCACTGATGGACCTCTGCTCCATATGCTTATCTAATTCCCTTTTGAAGCCGTCCATGCTCGTAGCCACCACCACTTCCTGCGGCAGAGATGAATTCCAAGTGTTAATCACTCTTTGGGTGAAGAAGTACGTCCTTTTATCCGTTCTAACCCGACCGCTCAGCAGTTTCATGGAGTGCCCACGAGTTCTTGTATTGTGAGAAAGGGAGAAAAGTACCTCTTTCTCTACCTGCTCTATCCCATGCATGGTCTTATAAACCTCAAGAAGCTGCCTTCTACTGAATCAGACCCTGTATCAAAGTCAGTATTGTTTACTCCCAAGTGGCAGTGGCTTTCCAGGTTCTTAGGCAGAGGTTTCTCACATCACCTCAAGTGGAGGTGTCGGGGATTGAGCCTGGAACCTTCTGCGTGCAAAGTGGATGCTCTGCCTCTGAGCCGCGGCCCCTCCCCATGATAAGGCGGTGATGTTCGGCTCTTGCTGAAATCGCCGAAAATGTTGGGGATTTCTTTCTGTGGAGTAAGGCTCCTCCTCATAAATAGTGAAAGTGGCCTGCAGAGGGCCATGATCCTTGAGTGTGGAATGCTGCAACAATTCCTTGTGGACAAATACCATCCACATCCAAGAGGGCTGGGTTGCAATCTTAGGTCTAAGTGGAACATTCTGGAAGTTAAGAAATTGCTCTGTGTGTGTGTTGTTGTTTTTTTAAAGAGCCATGGATCTTTGCCAAAGGATTCTGGGAACTGCAGGCCTACAAAGTAGGCTCCTGGAGGCCTCGCTAAAGAATTTTGTTGTAGAACTACAAATCCCAGAATTCTTTCCTCAGTCATGTTAGAAAGCAGTCATAGCCGTTACACTCTTTAATCTTTGGTGTTTTGCCAGTTTGGTGTAGTGGTTAAGTGCGCAGACTCTAATCTGGGAGAACCGGGTTTGATTCCCCACTGTTCCACTCGTACCTGCTGGATGACCTTGGGCAAACCATAGTTCTGTCAGAGCTCTCTCAGCCCCACCTACCTCACAGGGGGAGGAGAAAGGAAAGGAGATTGTAAGCTGCTCTGAGACTCTTTTGGGTAGTGAAGGGCGGGGTATAAATCCGATCTTCTCCTCCTCCTCCTCTTCTTTGTCTTCTTCTTGCGTACCCTGAATTTTTTTTGACAATAACAATCTCTGAAATTCTCAGGACCCCTCACTTCTCTTCTGGGCCCTTCTTTGCTTTCCCTTTCCCCCAGAGGTTAAAGAGAAATTGAGCGAGTGAATCGCTTGTGTCGTCCCTCTGTCCCCCAGCTGATATGGCTTTCCAAGTAATCCACGTGGTCTGTTGAGTTGGCGCACAAACTAAGAGTTGTGCTTCTGAATGACATCATGGAGAATCTTGGGAGGCACCATGTTGGGGCAGCCGCTCGCCATCCCTGGCATTAAAGTTCTCTATTCTCTCGATGCTGTGCTGTTTTTTTAAAACAAAATCCCTTTCATCAACCTGCCTCCTGTATGTTTCCTCTCCTCAGGTCAAATCCTGTACGGCCGAGTCATGTGGAACCCTGAGCAAAACCTCAACTCTGCCTACAAGCTGCAGTTGGAGAAGGTCTATCTCTGCACCGGGAAGGACGGCTACGTGCCCTTCTTTGACCCCACCGGGACCATCTATAACGAGGGACCTCAGTATGGATGTATCCAACCAAGCAAGCACCTGAAGCACAGATTTCTGCTGCTGGTAGGTGCTGATTTCTTAAGCAGGCCTGTGTGATGCTTGGGATTTTGACCTGAGATGGATACATTCCTCAGCTTGGACCACACAGTTGGGCCTGAAGTATAGTAAAAGGTTTCTTGCCACTTGGCAGGATGATAGCAAGGAGATATATGAACCATGGTTTACCAAGAGCTACCTTACCAGGGTTTCATTGTATCTGCTTGACCAGTGAAGGTGCAGCTCCACCAGGGCCAGAGTCCGCACACCCTTGAGGTGGGGCACCTGCTGAGGTCCAGATCTTCTGGAGCCCCCCCCCCACTCACCCCCCCAATATTCTCCCTTATTAAATAGTGGGTTCCATGGATGAGCAGACCCCAAGTCTAGTGATCAGCTCTTCTTTATTAGTGATTTCAGCAAGAGCAAGACAAGACTCCTGAGACTCAGCTCTGCTTCAATAGCATGCAGTCGCCACACCCAAACACACCCCACTCCCAGTGATAGGATATTTACATAACATTGCTATTGGATTGGTTACTTCCAGAGTCCTGGCAGGCTCTTGTTCTTGTGCTCTAAGCTCAGCCAGTCTCTGGGGCGACGGACCTGGAACGATTCAGTCCCAATACATAACGCCCCTCTTGCTTATTTATTTATTTTATTTATTTATACATTCGATTTATATACCGCTCCAACCCCGAAGGGTCTCTGAGCGGTTTACACACAAGTTCCAAATTCCAATTTCCCTATCTAAGGCCACATATTACAGGGGACGGGGCTGCCTGCCGGCACCCAGGTGGCAGGGCCTGCTGTTTTTCGGCTCCTTCTTCCCGGCGGTCTTCGGGTGTCGGCGTTCAGGCTCTGGTGTCCTGGAGTAGGTTTTCCTGTCCGGTGGCTTCTTCTGGCGGGCCCGTCCTGGTGTGCGGTTTGTGTCCGTTACAGCCCCGGCCAACGTCCATTTCCAGCTCCACCGCGCCTGCGCCGACACATCACCGCGCCTTCCACGACTCCGCCTCCGCCGGATTTTCGTTACTCGATGTTGCACTCACTGGCCACCAGGGCTTGCTCTCGCCAACCTCGCCGATCTTACTGTGGCTCCTCCCACCTCCTAGACTCCTATCTGCATACGTTGCCCAGTACTGCTGGGGGAGGGTGTGCAGGAGGTGAACGGCAGTGACGCTCCCAGCAGCAGCGCTTCCAGTTGCACACACTGCCCCCCATAAAATTGGGGAAGGGTGCATAGTACCAAGAGAGCTGGGAAATCAGCAAGTGGGTGTGGAAGGATGGAAGGGAAGGCAGTGGGGGAGGGGAACTCGGACAGGTGGGCGGGGAGGTGGGAGGAGGGGGCACAGTGGCGGGCGGGGGAAGGGGGGGGGGCTGGGCCCGCTCTGCCTAGGGCCCTGGAACAGGCTCTGATCTCCTCCTCTGCAGACGGAAAAGCAGGTCCCATGTGAGGAGCTGCTGCTACACAAAAGGATCAGCACTGTAGGATCCAAGCCTACAGCGGGCCCGTAGCTACGGTGGGGCTTTTGTGGGTTCTGCCCCAAGATAATTTCTCCTGTAAATGCTTTTTTCAATTGTTTCTAAACATTTTTTAAAGGTGTGCACTCCTTAAGCAGAGCGGGGTGCTGTAGTTGACTGATTCCTGCACTGAGCAAGAGGGTTGGAGTAGGTGTAGGTGACCTCTAGGATCCCTTCTAACGCTGTGTCAAGAAAAGGAGAGTTTTTCTGTCTTAAGTGTTAGCTTTCTTGACCTGCCGGCTTGTGATCAGACTGGTTGCTTAGGCTGGCAGAAGTGATTAACTTGCAGCAGCTGAGAACTGTCATCTAAAGTGGTTGACTGCTTGCAGTTTAGAGATCTCTCCAGGTTAACAGCTTTCCATTGGCTAAATGGCCTTTCTTTCTACACTGTGAGCTTCAGCCCCACCAGGAAAAAAGTTCGCCCAACAAGCCACAAAATCCTGGCTACGGGCCTGGCCTATAGGCACAGACGGTCTGTATAATTCGGGGATTGTGTATTTTTGCGGAATCTGGAGTTCCATGTCCAGTTATTTTAGGGCAGGAATCTCATTTAAACACATCCATGAGGGCACGGGGACGGATAGTCATGGTCATGGGGAACAATTAGAAAGTGTGATGAATTAAGCAGGCCCACAGCACTGATTACTTAGCCTTTAAAATCGAAGAGTCATGCCACACAGAGATCCCACCTAGCAATTCCATTGCTTTTGCAGGACCACTGGTATTGTGGTTTATGTCAGCGTGGCATTGGCTAGCTCCAGTGACCTCCCTGGCAACCCATAACATGTTCTTCCCATAAACGTGGAAAGGGTTTTGTTTTTTTTAAACTGGGTGGAGCTTGTAGTACAATTGTCTAAATTAAAAGCATCCTTTAACATAGCACTGTTGTAGTTCATCAGGGCAGAGAGAAATTGCCAACACAAAAAACTGTGCAATAGATATGCTGGGGATATGCAAGCCAACCACTGTAAATTACATAAGGACGGCAAGTACTCAACCAGAGAGTGGAATGGTTTGGAATAAAAGCCAGGAATTCACTTAGCGTTATCCAGTGTGTTATCTACGAACTTCTTAATTTCTCATCTGGCCATTCCTCCCAATACAAACTTGCTTTTCCTCCAGGGAGCAACGTTGGGCGGTAATTTTTCTGTGCCAAGCTGGTTGAGAAATGGTTGCTTCCAACCGCCATGACACTAAGAGCTCGGACTGGTGGTGGAAAGCACCTTCAAGTCACAGCCAACTTATGGTGATCCAGTAGGGTTTTCAAGGTGAGAGACGGACAGAGGTGGGTCGCCATGGCCTGCCTCTGCACAACAATTTCCTTGGTGGTTTCCCATCCAAGGACTAACCAGGGCTGACCCTGCTTTAGCTTATGAGATCTGGCTAGCCTGGGCCGTCCGGGTCAGAGCAAGAGCTTGGAGTACGTTCAGCTTACTATCATGTATGCCACTTTCTTCATATCGCAGGACCGGAACCAACCAGAAGTGACCGACAAATATTTCCATGATGTCCCTTTCGACGCCTGCTTCGCCTCTGATTTGCCAGATTCCCACCCGGTCACCAGCATGCCTGGAGTGGACGGCTTCATCATGAAGGTGGATGCGCTCTACAAGGTGTGCAACTGGACAGTTCCAGTCCAGCTGAAGAAGTGTGCCTGCACACGAAAGCTTACACCCAAAATTAAACTTGTTGGTCTTAAAAGGTGCCACTGGACCCAAACTTCATCCAGCTCAAATGTCATTATTTATATCAAGGAGCTCTTTGTCTTAACCTTTGATGTATGGCACTTGGCTATATGTGTGTGGGGGGGGGGGGGATTCTGCACGTGTTTGTGGGCTCAATCATGTTTATGAATATTTCATTTGCTTTGGAGCCAGGTCTCATAATTTAAAATTAGATTTGGGGCCTAAGCAGAGGTCATTTCGGGGGGGGGAACACGGGGGATCGCAGTTCCCCGGGGTGAGGTGCAGGGGGCGGGGCACATGACAAAGCCCCGCCCCCTGCTTCTGGCCGCCCCGCTTCCAGCCCTCATTCAGCCAGGAGGAGGCAGGAGAAGAGGGAGGGTAAGTTGCTTCCTCCCCGCCTCTCCCCACCCCTGCCTGCCTGGGGCCAAGGAGGGCCTTGGCGGGGCTTCCTTGCACTCCCACTGGCCTTGCAGGTCCACCGCCGGGCCCCTGATGTCAGGGGGTGTGGCATATGCTAATGAGTTATGCTAATGAGTTCCCCTAGCTCTTTTTCTACGAAATGACCCCTGGGGCTAAGCAAGGAGTATTTCAGATAAAGCACTTTGTTCCTGAGTGGGGTTGGAAGGTTCATGATGCCATAACTTTTCAGGGCTCTTTTTGTAGAAAAAGCCCAGCAGGAACTCATTAGCATAATAGGCCACACCCAACAGCAGGAACTCATTAGCATATTGTGCCACACCCCTGACAGCACAGCTCATTAGCATATTAGGATGCACCCCCATGTTACCAGAAGTGTGGTCATCCAGCCACACCCACCTTTTGCTTGTTATTCTGTTTACCTTGTTTGTCGTCAAAACCCAGGGCTTTTTTTGTAGCAGGAACTCCTTTGCATGTTAGGCCACACACCCCTAATGTAGCCAATCCTAATGAGTTCCTGCTGTTGGGTGTGGCCTATTATGCTAATGAGTTCCTGCTGGGCGTGGTCAACTTGGGAGCCAGCCGGAACTCCGTTCCTGTGCGTTCCTGCCCAAAAATAGCCCTGACTTTGCTTATAGATCATGATGGGTACCCATAGAATCATAGATCAATTGCTTAGATCAAGATGGGTAGCAGTGTTAGTCTGTCTGTAGCTGTAGGAAAGAGCAAGTGTCCAGTAGCACCTTAAGACTAACAAAAATGTGGGAGCTTTCGTGAGTCACTGTTCACTTCTTCATTTAGCTCAAGATGGGTAGCTGTGTTTGTCTGTAGCAGCAGGAAAGAGCAGGAGTCTAGGAGCACCTTAAAGACTAACAAGAAGCGAGCGGTGACTCACGAAAGCTCCTCCCCCGCCACAAATTTTGTTAGTCTTTAAGATGCTCCTGGACTCTGGCTCTTTTCTACCACTACAACCTTGCTGAAACTACGCAGATCTGGGTCTGGCTGCTATCGGATTAGGAGCCCTCCGGGGAACCCGACACACACCTCACATTTCATCCCAGAGTACCTGAAGCACTGTCTCATAGAATCGTAGAGTTATATTATTTTGTCTAAAAGCCTATTTCCTCAAATAAATGAATGGATAGGATCATAGAATTAAACATTGGAAGGGGTCCTAAGCCCATCCAGTCCAAGCCCCTGCACCATCTCTGACAAATAATTGTCCCGTCTCCTCCTAAATACCTCCAAGGTTGGAGGACCCACAACATCCCTGGGCAAACAATTCCACCACTGAAGTGCCCTTGTTGTTAACATTTCCCTCCTGATATCCCCCATCTATCATTTAAACCCATTATTACGAGTCCTCTCGTCTCCAATACTCTCTAGCCCACCAGTTAAGATCTGCCTCTCAAACCCTGCTCTCTGTGCCCCCTCTTCGGAGGTGTGAGACGGGTGGTGAGACAGGGCCTTTTCTGTGGTGGCCCCTCACCTTTGGATCGCCCTCCCCCTTGAGGCTCTCCTGGAGCCTATTTTATTTTCTTTTAGGCACTAAGTTATAATACACCTTCCCCCCCCCCCCCCCCCTTTTTTTTTGGGGGTTTTCTTTTCCCATATTAATGGACTGCCTCTGTTTTATGGATAGTTTTTATGCTTGTGTTTCAATATTGTGGTTTTTGATTACAAACCACTTTGAGCAGGACTCTGAGGAAGTGGCACAGAAAAATCTTATAATTAAAATAAGTGTGGTTTTATTTATTTAAAATATTTATTAGCCGCCTTTCTACCTTGCAGGACTCAAGGAGCCTTACGATGTAAATAAAACAATTGTAGAAATCACATAAAAGACCACAATTTAAAATCTCAATTAGGATTGCCAACGATCAATAAGTACTTGTCACGGCTCAGGTGGGGTGTCACTTGACGCTGCCACCACTCTGGAATTAGGATCCCTTGAGAAGGCCCAGAGCACCCTTCCAAGACCTTCAGACCTCCCTTTTGGCCAAATAATAGGCTTGAGTACCAGGCAGAGTAAACCACAAGGAAGTCAAAGAAACAAGGTGCAGGAATAATAACAGTAAGTGGGTGAAAAGAAAAGAAATCAAATGCCATAACACGTCTGAATATACTGTCCCTAGCTCACTATCTCAAGCGGCCTTAGACTACTCACCCTTCCTTCAGGATGAGGGTTTCTTCCTCACAGCAGCCTCTCTGGCCCTGTTCCCTGGGAGGAAGAACAGCTTTCCCTCTTGCGCCAGTTCTTTTATTCCCCAGCCCTCTTCTTCCCTATTGGTCAAAATTGGTGCCAAAACTTCCCAAGGCCTTCTGGGGTTTGTAGGCCCAGCCTCCCCTACTGCAACACAGGCCCCCTTGGCCCAGTAGGCCTCTGGTGGCACAGCCCAGATCATAACAGTACTCAATTAGTCAAATGCAGTCTTATCTTCGACTGCCTCCCGAAGATCGAAAGCGAGGGGGCCAGTCAAAATTGTGAGGCTGCCACCAAAAAGGCCCTGTCGTGTGAGCTTCTTTGATTGGTGGGATAGTCAGGAGGGCTTAATTCCCAGGCAGGAACGTGGAATAAGCAATAATGATGAGAGGAAGATGGGATATAAATGTACAAATAAAGTCTCTGGATTCTCCCCCCCCCCCTCCGTACAGGTGGAAGCTGGGCACCAGTGGTACCTCCAAGTGATCTACATCATTGGTCCCGAGACCATCACAGGGCCCCGAGTCCCACGCTCCCTCACACACCGACTGAGACGCCACCGCCGAGACCTCACGGACAATAAGGGCGGCCTAGCCCTGGACGACTCCCTGATCTACGACAACGAAGGAGACCAAGTCAAGAACGGCACCAACATGAAGTCACTCAACCTGGAGCGCCAGGAGGCCGTGTCCGCTGCCTCTCTGTCGCAGACGGGGGCTTCCATCGGCAGCGCCTTTGCGGCCGTGATGCTCCTGTTCCTCGTGCTCTTGGTCGTCTGCTTTGTGACCCAGAAGTGTCGGAAGCACAGGAAGAAGAAAAAGTCGGCGACGGGCAGCCCGGAGGAGTATCCCCTCAACACCAAAGTGGAGGCGGCCCGGAGGAGCACGGAGAGGGGAGAAAAGAACCTGAACAGGCAGTATTGCACCGTGAAGAACTTGAATATACTCTGCGAGACTGAGGGGACCTTCAAGGTCAGAGGGGCAAAGGTCAAGCAGGTGAACTTGGAGGTGAAAGTTCACAACAATTTACACGACGGGACGGAAGTTTAATGGCACACGGATTTCTTTTTTCTTTTTTTGTAACATCTTTTTATAAATTGTAAAAAAAGAAAGAAAGGAAAGGATATACGTTTTTTTAAAAAAAGAAAAAAACCCCATCCTGGTATTTTTATAACTAATCTTGTGGGGAAAGGGAAGAATTACACTCTTTTGGTTTTTTTCGGTTTGCTTGAGCAGTGAACAAGCGGCACATCCCCCACCCACCACCCACCCCCGCCCCGCATGCTTCGACTCTGCAACGGAGCTACCTCATTGAAAGCCAATCTGTGTGGAGCTCCTGAGGCAGGTTACACCAAATGGCGTCTCTTGGGTCATAGCGGCATTCCAGTCACCCGATCCGGAGAGCTCCCGAATCTCTACACTTCAGTTTGTTCTGCCCTCGTTGCGGAAGGCGTCGTTCTTTTTTTTAGGGGGGGAAAGGACAGGGTCCGACACTCTCGTGAGGCCTATCTGGAGGCGGAAGAAGCACAGCCCTGCACTCACGGTCAACGGGCAGCGACCTTCGCCCCCAAGACATCTCTGCACTAGAGCTGACCGTCGCCACAGGTTTTGTTTCAGCCGGAGGTTGCTGTGACTCTGGACTTAGTCATGCTCTGGACTTAGTCCTGCTGGAGCAGAGATGCTCCCGTTATCCAGTCCCTAAATGGAAATGGAAACACGTCACAAAGTGTGATTTAAGTACCCGGCTTGGGCCATTTCATGCGTGAGGCCTCCCAACAGGCGAGGGACCGCGTGGAAACGCAACTGACAGCTGTGTTTGGGTTGTGCGTTCCAGCTAACAAGCGATAGCTTGCTTGGTTGTGGGGGAATGCTCTTGATGTAACACCTCTCCGGCATTTATCTTGGCCGGTTTTTCAAAATGGCTAAACTCTTACAATAGGCAGCGGGAAGAATCGATATACCCTGTCTCTTTGGGCCACTTTACACAATCAGTTAAGGGGGCCGTAATCAAGGTATAAACCTGATCAGTGGCTTCCCTCTGTTGATTGAAGCTCCGCACTTGGAAAGTGATTTACAAATAACCATTCCCGCCCACCGAGGGTTGCCAACTCTGGGTCGGGAAATACCTGGAGAATTTGGGGGTGGAGCCTAGGGAGGGAGGGGTTTGGGGAGGGGAGGGGCCTCAGCAGCCTATAATGCCGTAGAGTCCACCCTCCAGGGCAGCCACGTTCTCCAGAGGAACTGATCTCGGTCGTCTGAAGATTAATTGTAATAGCCAGAGATCTTCGGGTACCACCTGGAGGTTGGTAACCCTACGCCTACCCCTGCAGTGGTAATTCAGACAGATGGTTTTAAAAAAGACTAGGAATCCGTTTATAAAACTGCCTTCCATTTTCGAAACAAAATATTCTGTGCCAAACTTTTGTTGCTTAACTCTTATCAACATAACAATATTGGGAACATACACTTTTAGTTAGTGTAATTGGCAGTGCGATCCTGAGCAGAGTTACACCCGTCTAAATCCATTGAAGTCCTCGGGCTGAGAAGGCTGTTAACTCTGGTTAGGAGGACTGCACTGTTAGCCTGAATCCCGCAAGCCACTCGGGACGTCCTGCGCCAAGTGCCGTCTGCTCATTCACCTGTGCTTGCGTGGGCAGCGACGGGCAGCGGCTGAGGCCATCGTCCTCATTAAAAAGTACTCAGTACCACGTTAACTCAGGTGTCCGAGATCAGCCAGTTTGCATGATCATCACTTACGTACTGGAAGTTAACTTTTCCTTTTTTTGAACCAGTGGGTTTTGGTGCACCAAGTGACACTTGCGAATGTTTACACGCCTGTCGAGATCACAGCTCGCACCGTATCCCGGCACTACATGCTCTGGATGCGGCAAACCGTGATCTGTCTTGAGGCATTAATATAGCCAGATCGTTGGCCTGAAATCCAAATCTTTGGTGGGGTGGGGTGGGGGGGAATCTCCTTCTGCTGAAGTCATCTGGAAAAACAACATTTGTGTGACAGAGTTGCCAATAGCCTGGAGAGAAAATAATGTCCTGTCCCTTTCGTTAGAGGCATAATTGGATGCTGTTTACCAGGTGACTTTATTTAGCACTCCATGCCATGAAAAATAGCAGGCACCGATGTCCAAACAGGAAGCCTCTATTAAAGGAACAGGACGGTCCCCTCCCTGCCTGTTGGCAACTCGACTGAGTGAATCGGATCTTGTTTCAGAACAAGGGCACATTGGAAGAGTACAGGACCCTAAAAACACTCCTTACACTCTTCCACACTGTGTGCATGTAGAGCACTGTTCAGGCGGGATTAATGGAGAACACTGTTCCAAATGGAATGTAGATTCTCACCAATACCGGTAATTACGAGACATTACCGATAATTACAAGAATTGCATTTGCATTAAAGGGGATTGCACCATGTTTGAAAAAGAGCTAAGTCCCCGCATTTTTGGTTCACGGTAGCTGTTAATTATCCAGTTGGGCGGATACACCCCAGTTCAAAGCTCTGTGTATACTTCTGTGCACACACGGGGCTCGAAGAAGGGCTCCCACCCACCCCAATTTTAACAGGACAAACTGGTCTGCACCCAAAGGGACAGATGTGCAGATTAGCCTCCTTCACTAAAGCGAACGGGGAAGTCACGTGATGACGGGAGCTTCCCACATGCACTGGAGCTCTTTGCCTGGAACAGACGGCTAGACTGGAATGACCAAATTCCAGCGTTCGTGCCTACTAACGTAGCCTTAGGGCTACAGTTCTAAAGCACACCCTGTCAGTAAGCACACCTACGGTTATGCTGCACAAGTCTGAAGGCTCTTAAGAATAGAGGAGCCCTGCATGTTGAGACTCACCTAACTTCAGAAAACAATTAGGCATAAATCCACTGTAAATCAATCTTGTCGCTCACTTGTGTACCCGCTGCAGATTTTCTTAAGGACAAACTCACCGCAGTGACTGCTTTCCAGACAATTGTGGAGCTTATAGCTGATATTAAAATCCTTCTGGGTGGCTAATAACTTATTTGCAGACATACACGCACCAAGTGTCAAAGAACTGAAATCATCCGTACTTAAAGCCATTTGATTTGCAAAATCGCTCTGTATACGTTTTGATTGAGACCAAGTGAGGACCACAGGCAGTGTTTGGCTTCTGCCAGATACGTGGCGCCTGTTTATCCAGTTTTATCAGTATTCTTCAGTGTACATTTATGCACCTTCGGTGAACTTGGGTAACGCGTTGAGGAAGCCTTGTGAACGCTCCAACATTTGCATTCAGATTGTGCCTTGGATCAAGACCGCCCGTTGAAGGTTCCCCCCACACCCCCACTGTGCGGCCCCCCCCCCCCCCCCCACACACACCTTGGGACGTTGATTTGCCAGCTGGGCATTCATTGGATGAATCACACAAAATGGGTCGACACGGAGAAACCCAGTGAAAAGCACAACTCCTGTCGACCTCACTGCAAAAAAAAAAGTGGTTTCACCACTACGCCTAAGCTGTGTTGCACCAGCAAAGAATTGTTTAGGATTGCATGTAAGAATGCCATAGCAGCCCTAATAGCCTAGATCCTGAGAGAGCTCAGAAGCTAAGCAAGGTGAGATGGGAGACCACCAAGGAAAATGGGTGCCACGACGCAGACGAAGGCAAGAGCACTCCACCTCTGCTCCTCTCTCGCCTTGAAAAACCCATGAAGTGGAACTTCATAGGAGCGCCATGGGTCAGCAGCAACTCAATGGCACACTTTCCCTTTAAGAATACAGGCTAATGTCCAGTCCGGAGCTCCATGGACATTCATGCAGCTCCTTCTGCCGGCTGCCCCTGTTCCACTCAACGAGGGGACAACTGTAACGGAATCATGCTCCACATTAAAGTACGTGTGGGCATCTATTTTAGGCAGTAGGACTCAGCGTATGAATTACGAGTCCCTGTGCCCATAGGAAGTTGCTGAGCCGAAGTGGGTGGGAATCAGTGGATCTATTATTATACTTTGAGCAGAGAGGCCTAGGTTTGAATCCCTGATCTGTCGTAAACCCCACTGGGCAACTGTAGGAAAATCAAATTCTCTTATTCGAGCTCTGCCATGCAGGGGTTATTGGGAGGATGAAACGGACTAAGTCTGGGTGTGCCGTCTTGAAGGAAGGTGCAGTGATTTCATGTTTTGGTGTGTGTATTTCTTTGAGTGATAGAGGGAGACGAGTGTGATGTGATTGGCTGATGACAGAGAATGTGGGAGGAGGGGTGTCTCAGAGGAGATTCTGGGTTTGAGAGAGACGAGTGTGGAGAGTTTAATTTAGTTCTTTAGCCTATATGGCATAAACAGTTTGAGTCTATCCTGTGTGGCTAAGACAAACCGTTTAGCCTGTGTGGCTAAGAGAGGCAGAGTTTAGCCTGTGTGGCTGAGGCTGTCAGAGTTGGACTTTGGTGTTTTGAGAGACTGTGTGCGATGCCCAGCTTTATCAGTTATATTTATATAAGTTCCTTTCTTCGATAACAGTTCAAAATACCCAGAAACCTATTTTGTTCTTTTATAAATAAATCATTATTTGTTTAAACTTATCCCAGCAGTCAGAACAGTCCTTCCTCAGGGCCACATAGTCCTCTGAAGAGCCCAGACACAGGGTCATTCTGATCTGGTGTTTTTAATTCCTGGTAGCAGCAGAAATCTACCAAGTTTATGTGAACAGAGTGTGTTTTTAAGGAAAAAACAGTCTCCCCAATAAGGAGGACGTCACAGAAGGGTAGGATGAAAATGCACTGCGTGGTTAAAACTGGGGTGCCACTGTTGGCATATGCGCGAAACTCCATCCCATTGGTGGTGGCTGAAAGTGTTGTCAAGTCACAGCCAACTTATGGTGATCCTGCACAGTTTTCAAGGCGAGAGACATTCAGAGGAGGGTTGCCCTTGCCTGCCTCTTCATAGCAACCCTGGACTTCCTTGGTGGTCTCCCATCCAAGTACTGACTAGGGCTGATCCTGGTTAGCTTCTGAGATCTAAGGAGATCAGGCTAGCCTGGGCCGTCCCCATTGGTACAGAACT